GGGCACTTTGAAGTAAGGTAGGTAATCCCTGCTCGCGTGACTCGCCGACTAAGCCTTCATGATTTAGAAGCTCTTGGAGTATTTTAAGAGTCCCCTTTTGCCACCCCCGAAAACGGCCGGGTACAAAGAGCCGCGCGTTAGTAAACGCTGTGGCTGGATCCGTGTTTAGAAATGCAACAGTGTCTGGGTACTAGACATTCTAGATCTAATAGCTAAACTAAGTATTTTATCCATACTTTTATCATTTTCAAATGTACATTGACGTCGATCAAAACTCGTCGAATTCAATTTCAAATCAAACTTTTCATTATGTATTTTAAATAATTCAATTATCGTTATAATACGCGTACGTTTCATTACGATATATTTTATCTTTGATATTATCTCAAATATTTAGATTTTTTTTTTTCTTTTTTTTACGTTTAATCGTATAGCTCGTATAAATATTTCTCGAATGAATGTATTTCAAAATTGTATGAAACTAAAACGAACGATTAGAAATATTAAATTGGATTCGTGTTAAATTCACAAGATATATGTAATGTACAATTATAGAATACGATTTAATGGCTTATCTTATTTATATTACACACACACACACACACACATATATATATATATATATAGTTTTGAAAATGTAAAAATATCTTTTCATTCTTCTTCGAACATGTAATTTTATATTTCTTTTGTTTGTTTTCTTTTTGCTTTCTAATTATACTCAAGTTATCAGTTAATCCATTTTATTCGTTAGATGACTCAACCTGTACAATGACTGTAGATACCAATATATATATAATAAATAAATATATATATATATATATATATATATATATATATGCAATCTATAATATAAATACAAACATATAAACGTAAATATGTAACGTTATTTCGTAGGGAATAAAATTATTTAACAAAAAAAAAAAGAGATAATAATAATAAATATAAGAAATGAACAAAGATTGGCGGTGAGGGTTGGCTTAGAAAAGGGAGGAAAATCAAGAGGTGGATAACCGGCTGACGTATAATTATCCCGAAGGAAGGTAACGATAAAATTTACTCTCCCGTGGTAAACGCGTTCTCTCTAATACGTGAACCTAGAAAGGACACGTAATTCCTTCTCTCTCTCTCTCTCTCTCTCTTTCTTTCTCTTTCCTTCATTCTGTTTGCAAAAGGAAAAAGGAGAGTCATAGAGGGAATGCGAAGGTGGTTGAAGTGTTAAAATTGCGAGAAGAAAGAGAAAGAGAAAGAGAAAGACAGAGACAGAAAGAGAAAGAGAAAGAGAGAGAGAGATAGTCTGTGGGCATCTAACAGCAATGGCCCTTCACTACTTTGCTATCCTCTTGGACCACCCTCTTCGAAGAGTTCACCAGCAGTAGTAGTAACAGTAGCAGCACCAGCAGCACTAGCAGCAGTAGTAAAAGCAAGAGGAGCAGCAAGATCGACCTCAGTAGCCGACCACCTTCCTTGCTACCCTTCTCGCTCGTTGAATCTAATTACACCCGCCAAGACCCATCCGGTTTCGGTATGTATGTGTCTCTCTCTCTGTCTCTCTCTCTGTGTGTGTGTGTGTGTGTGTGTATGTCAGAGAGAGAGAGGAAAGAGAGAGAGGAGAAAAAGAGAGCAAGAGAGATAGAGATAGACAATCCTCCTGGCGTATGTACGCGTCTGTGTAAGAGAGATAGAGAGAGAGAGAGAGAGAGAGAGAGAGAAAGAGAAAGAGAGAGAGGACGAGAGAAGCGTTGCCAGGCGACGGGAGCCATCTTGGAGGGTTGCAGCCACTAATGGCCTAATGAATTTAATGGAGGCTCCCTGGCATAGAACGGAGGAGAACTGAGGAGACTCTGATATAAAGAGAAAGAGGGAGAGGGAGAGAGAGAGAGAGAGAAACGTTGTCGTCGGTCTCTAATTTTCTTTCTCTCTCTTTCTCTTAGAAAGGTGTATAGGGAAGGGTTGCGAGAAAGAAGAAAGGAAGATAGAGAGAGAGAAAGAGAGAAAATGATGGTGGGTAGAGAAAGAGAAAGAACGCTAACCGATCCCAAGCTCGAGGTCTACCTTACGACTCCCGGATTTTCACAATTAAGTAAAGAGTGAGTGCCTGTCGCTTGAGAGGACAACCGTCCCTCTCTTCTTCACGTTCCCTCTTCAGTCTCTCTCTCTCTCTCTCTCTCTCTCTCTCTCTGTCTGTTTCTATGTTTCTCTATCTTTCTGTCTATGTTACTCTTTCTCTCTCTCTCTCTCTCTCTCTTTTTCTCTGTCTTTCTTTTCATCTCTTCCTCTTTTCCTTTCTCTTTTCCTTTTCCTTTAGTGAGTATTATGTAGGAGAAAGAGAGAAACAGTGAGAAAAGAGAGAGAGAGAGAGAGAAAGAGAGAGAGAAAGAGAGACAGTACGTAAGTTAGAATCAAGCTTTACTTTTCGGTGCTCGTGCTCGCTAATTGAGAACGACGGCTTATGTGTCCTTCTCTTTCTTACACTTTATGTGTCGACGAGGAAATTTTCAGGGATTTGCAGTCCAGATGGGAGAACTCCTCAAAGGGAAGGACAACGTACGCATTTTTCCCAGACATTAAGAACAGGATGGGTGTCCGCTTCGTCTCTCCTAACCACTTTACATCTCTGTTTCTTACAGGACACGGAGCTTTTAAGGCCAAACTGACTTCGCTGGACACCGTCAGTGAAGGAGAATGCGAGTGCGGCGAAGAGGACACGGTTTCGCATCACATCGTCGAATGTCTGATTTTCGTACCCCAGAGGGTAGCTCTGGAAGAAATTCTCTGTGAAAGGAGTTGGCTGGAAGCAGCGAGACATCTTGTCTCCACGGCCGAGGCCTTCTCCCTCTTCGCGGAGTTTTGCAAAGAAACCCTCCTCCTTAAGGGTTATTAGTTCATGAATCCTGTTCAGCTGGGATTTCGGAGTCCTGGTGATGGGGATGGGTGCCTGTAATCTTCTCAGGTTAACTCACTCTCGAACAGGATAGTGTCGAAGACGTTCGCATGCATATCCATATTTTTTTTCTCTATCACCAAACTCTCTCCCCTAAACCTGCTATCCTTCCGATCCTATCCCAACCTACAGAACAAATGCCAAGGATCGTGGTACTATGAGTGGTCCTTCCCGTGGTTCCCCGTGGGCACGGCTGACATTAGCGTGGTGATCCGTTGCTGCGATCGTGGTTAAACTGCTCACCCTGCCCGCCAGCAGGAGTTTTAGGTTTTTCCGACTCCGGACTCTTCGTTGTGGTGGCTGCTGTCAGTAGGTGGTTCGTATGCCCTAATGGGCGAGCTAGCATTGGTGCAGGCATCCTTCGGGTGTCCACCTTTACAATATACTCTTCCACTCCTCCTGACCTCGGAGCATTTTCTCGAGAACGTTATCTGGCGAGATGTCTCAGGGGTCTTGCTCCAAGGCGAGTCGTTCGACGCTCCACCGGGCACATTTGAAGAGTGTGTGGTGGGTGTCGTCGACGGTCGAGTCGCCATGAGGGCAGTTGCCGTCTGCTATCTTCCTCATTTTTGTAAGATAGGAACAAAACAGGCCATGACCTGTCAAGAATTGGGTGAGGTAGAAGTCGACCTCCCCTGTCTCCCGGTTTACCCATTCTGTCTAGCCGACTGATGAGTTGGGCAGTCCATCTGCTCCTAGGCTCCTATTCTCATCTGCTTTGCCAGGCCTCAATGCTGCTAGACCTGGCGAGCCTTGATGCCTCCTCCTTTGCCAGAACGGACGAATTGTCTCTCCTGGGCTAGTAGATCGATCAGGATTACCCCCGTGACCACTAGTACCGCGGACTTAGAGACCGTGCGGTAGGAGCACGCGATTCGGAGAGCGCCCCTCCTCTGTATCGCGGCAATGCGCTTGCGATATTTCTCGTGTCGCAGGACCTTGGCCTAGACTTCCGCGTCATACAGCATCACTGCTTCGGCGGTGCGCATCAGTAGTCGCCTCATGCACGGACGGGGACTGTTGACGTTGACCATGAGTTGACCACCTGACGGAGTTGAAGGCATTTCTCACGTCTAAGGTGCCCAGCAGACACAAAGGACAAGATAAATGATTCCCGCGCTCCGTTATTTTTGCGGTCGTGACAATCTCCTGGACTGCGTGGATGGTGGAGAGGCCGGTTCGAAATTCATACTGGTGAGCAGCATGATTGCCCGCTGCCATCACGGCCGCGTGTAGCCGTGGCCTAAGCAGCTTCTCCAGGAGCTTGCCAGCCGTATCGAGCATATATAAAGGCCTGTATGACGAAGCGGCATCTGCTGGACCCTTGCCCTTGCTTATGAGCACAACTCTCGCTTTCTTCCACGGGGAGGGGAAGATGCCCTCCCTGAGGCACATGTTATACATGTTTAACAAGAGCTCAGAGTGATTCTGCGCGACGGCTTTCATTACTTCCGCTGGAAGGCCGTCTGGTCCTGGAGTTTTCTTGTTACGCATGGAATATGCGGCCATGAATAGCTCCTCCTCCGTAAACTGTGGCGCTTCAAGGCTGCCAGAAGCAGCCGGGCCAAACTCTCTCTTCGACTGTGAGGGGAATTGGGTATGAAAGATGTTCTCCAGGGTCCTCGCGTCCTGAGGGATTCCAATTGTGTGAGTCCACAGCTTGCGAGTGACGATCTGGTACTCTAATCCCCACGGATTCTGGTCGACATCCAGGCACAGCTCCTTCCAGCATCGTCATTAACTGGCCTTGATGGTCCTCTTCAGTGATTTCTCGGCCGCTTGATACCCAGCGGCTAAGGGAGCAGCGTCGAGATCGCATCTCTTCGCTCGTAGTGTTACCCGGCGAAGCCTTAAGCACTTCTTGCGAAGATCTGCAATCTCGTTCATCCACCAGTATGCAGGACGTCTCTGCCTGGACGTTTCGTGCTCTTCTTCGGCACCTCTATCGCGCAAGCCTTTTCGATGAGCTGCATAGTTGCTGCGGTCATCATCCTGGCTTGTGCAATTCGCGATAGACTCGCGGGTGTAATTTGATGGAATCTGTAACCTTCATCTATAGATGAAGACAGCCACCCTAGATCCATTTTTCCGATGTTCAACCGGGGGGCTCGCGTTGCACTTGCCACGGCAGGCCTCCTATCGTGTACGTCGAATAGGAAGTACTGATGATTGCTTCCGGTGTAATCTTCGATCACGCGCAAGCCTCTTGCTAAAAGGTGCTCGTTGGCTAGAGAGTCCTCTGGGATCGCCTCTCTGTAGCCAGGCTTTCGGAAGGTTAACGTCGAGCCTGTGTTGAGCACTGCTAGATTCAGTGTCTAGACACCACCTACATGATTCGTCGTCCTCTGTAGTAGTAGTAGTAGTAGTAGTAGTAGTTTTAGCGTTAGTAGTACTAGTAGTAGTAGTTTTAGCGGTAGTAGTAGTAGTAGTCGTAGTTTTAGTGGTGGTAGTAGTAGTAGAAGTAGTTTTAGCAGTACAATAAGTAGTAGTAGTTTTAGCAGTAGAATAAGTAGTAGTAGTTTTAGCAGTAGAATAAGTAGTAGTAGTTTTAGTAGTAGAATTAGTAGTAGCAGTTTTAACAGTAGAATAAGTAGTAGTAGTTTTAGCAGTAGAATAAGTAGTAGTAGTTTCAGCAGTAGAATAAGTAGTAGTAGTTTTAGTAGTAGAATTAGTAGTAGCAGTTTTAACAGTAGAATAAGTAGTAGTAGTTTTAGCAGTAGAATAAGTAGTAGTAGTTTCAGCAGTAGAATAAGTAGTAGTAGTTTTAGTAGTAGAATAAGTAGTAGTAGTTTTAGCAGTACAATAAGTAGTAGTAGTTTTAGCAGTAGAATAAGTAGTAGTACTTTTAGCAGTAGAATAAGTAGTAGTACTTTTAGTAGTAGAATTAGTAGTAGTACTTTCAGTAGTAGAATAAGTAGTAGTAGTTTCAGCAGTAGAATAAGTAGTAGTAGTTTTAGCGGTAGAATAAGTAGTAGTAGTTTTAGCAGTAGAATAAGTAGTAGTAGTTTTAGCAGTAGAATAAGTAGTAGTAGTTTTTGCAGTAGAATAAGTAGTAGTAGATTTAGCAGTAGAATAAGTAGTAGTAGTCTTTGCAGTAGAATAAGTAGTAGTAGCTTTAGCAGTAGAATAAGTAGTAGTAGCTTTAGCAGTAGAATAAGTAGTAGTAGTTTAAGCAGTAGAATTAGTAGTAGTAGTTTTAGCAGTAGAATTAGTAGTAGTAATAAAAGTGGTAGTAGTTTTATTAGTAGTAATAAAAGTAGTAGTAGTTTTAGTAGTAGAATTAGTAGTAGTAATAAAAGTAGTAGTATTTTTAGTAGTAGAATTAGTAATAGTAATAAAAGTAGTAGTAGTTTCAGCAGTAGAATAAGTAGTAGTAGTTTTAGCAGTAGAATAAGTAGTAGTAGCTTTAGCAGTAGAATAAGTAGTAGTAGTTTAAGCAGTAGAATTAGTAGTAGTAATAAAAGTGGTAGTAGTTTTATTAGTAGTAATAAAAGTAGTAGTAGTTTTAGTAGTAGAATTAATAGTAGTAATAAAAGTAGTAGTATTTTTAGTAGTAGAATTAGTTGTAGTAATAAAAGTAGTAGTAGTTTTAGTAGTAGTAATAAAAGTGGTAGTAGTTTTAGTAGTAGTAATAAAAGTAGTAGTATTTTTAGTAGTAGAATTAGTAGTAGTAATAAAAGTGATAGTAGTTTTATTAGTAGTAATAAAAGTAGTAATACTGTTAGTAGTAGAATTAGTGGTAGTAATAAAAGTAGTAGTATTTTTAGTAGTAGAATTAGTAGTAGTAATAAAAGTAGTAGTATTTTTAGTAGTAGAATTAGTAGTAGTAATAAAAGTAGTAGTAGTTTTAGCAGTAGAATAAGTAGTAGTAGTTTCAGCAGTAGAATTAGTAGTAGTAATTTTAGCAGTAGAATTAGTAGTAGTAATAAAAGTGATAGTAGTTTTATTAGTAGTAATAAAAGTAGTAATACTGTTAGTAGTAGAATTAGTGGTAGTAATAAAAGTAGTAGTAGTTTTAGTGTAAGTAGTAGCAGTAGCAGTAGTTTTAGCGGTAGTAGCAGTAGTAGCAGTAGTAGCAGTAGTAGTTTTAGTAGTAGTACGTACTATATCTAGTACGATAGTACGTACTATATCTAGTACGATAGTACGTACTATTTATAGTACGATAGTACGTACTATATCTAGTACGATAGTACGTACTATTTATAGTACGATAGTACGTACTATATCTAGTACGTACTATATCTAGTACGATAGTACGTACTATTTATAGTACGATAGTACGTACTATATCTAGTACGATAGTACGTACTATTTATAGTACGATAGTACGTACTATATCTAGTACGTACTATATCTAGTACGATAGTACGTACTATTTATAGTACGATAGTACGTACTATATCTAGTACGATAGTACGTACTATTTATAGTACGATAGTACGTACTATATCTAGTACGATAGTACGTACTATTTATAGTACGATAGTACGTACTATATCTAGTACGTACTATATCTAGTACGATAGTACGTACTATTTATAGTACGATAGTACGTACTATATCTAGTACGATAGTACGTACTATTTATAGTACGATAGTACGTACTATATCTAGTACGATAGTACGTACTATTTATAGTACGATAGTACGTACTATATCTAGTACGATAGTACGTACTATTTATAGTACGATAGTACGTACTATATCTAGTACGTACTATATCTAGTACGATAGTACGTACTATATCTAGTACGTACTATTTATAGTACGATAGTACGTACTATCGTACTAGATATAGTACGTACTATCGTACTAGATATAGTACGTACTATCGTACTATAAATAGTACGTACTATCGTACTAGATATAGTACGTACTAGATATAGTACGTACTATCGTACTATAAATAGTACGTACTATCGTACTAGATATAGTACCTACTATCGTACTATAAATAGTACGTACTATCGTACTAGATATAGTACGTACTATCGTACTATAAATAGTACGTACTATCGTACTAGATATAGTACGTACTAGATATAGTACGTACTATCGTACTATAAATAGTACGTACTATCGTACTAGATATAGTACGTACTATCGTACTATAAATAGTACGTACTACTACTAAAACTACTACTGCTACTATCGCTAAAACTACTGCTACTGCTACTACTTACACTAAAACTACTACTACTTTTATTACTACCACTAATTCTACTACTAACAGTATTACTACTTTTATTACTACTAATAAAACTACTATCACTTTTATTACTACTACTAATTCTACTACTAAAAATACTACTACTTTTATTTGTACTACTAAAACTACTACCACTTTTATTACTACTAATAAAACTACTACCACTTTTATTACTATTACTAATTCTACTGCTAAAACTACTACTACTTATTCTACTGCTAAAACTACTACTACTTATTCTACTGCTCAAACTACTACTACTTATTCTACTGCTAAAGCTACTACTACTAATTCTACTACTAAAATTACTACTACTTATTCTACTGCTAAAACTACTACTACTTATTCTACTGCTAAAACTACTACTACTTATTCTACTGCTGAAACTACTAATACTTTTATTACTACTACTAATTCTACTACTAAAAATACTACTACTTATTCTACTGCTAAAACTACTACTACTTATTCTACTGCTAAAGCTACTACTACTAATTCTACTACTAAAATTACTACTACTTATTCTACTGCTAAAACTACTACTACTTATTCTACTGCTAAAACTACTACTACTTTTATTACTACTACTAATTCTACTACTAAAAATACTACTACTTTTATTTCTACTACTAAAACTACTACTACTTATTCTACTGCTAAAACTACTACTACTTATTCTATTGCTAAAATACTACTACTTATTCTACTGCTAAAACTACGACTACTTATTCTACTGCTAAAACTACTAATACTTTTATTACTACTACTAATTCTACTACTAAAAATACTACTACTTATTCTACTGCTAAAACTACTACTACTTATTCTACTGCTAAAGCTACTACTACTAATTCTACTACTAAAATTACTACTAGTTATTCTACTGCAAAAACTACTACTACTTATTCTACTGCTAAAGCTACTACTACTAATTCTACTACTAAAATTACTTCTACTTATTCTACTGCTGAAACTACTACTACTTATTCTACTGCTAAAACTACTACTACTTATTCTACTGCTAAAACTACTACTACTTATTCTTCTACTAAAACTACTACTACTTATTCTACTGCTAAAACTACTACTACTTATTCTATTGCTAAAATACTACTACTTATTCTACTGCTAAAACTACTACTACTTATTCTTCTGCTAAAACTACTACTGCTTTTATTATTAATACTAAAACTACTACCACTTTTATTAGTACTACTAAAACTACTACTACTTTTATTACTACTAATAAAACTACTACCACTTTTATTACTACTACTTATTCTACTGCTAAAACTACTACTACTTATTCTACTGCTAAAACTACTACTACTTATTCTACTGCTTAAACTACTACTACTTATTCTACTGCTAAAGCTACTACTACTTGTTCTACTGCTAAAGCTACTACTACTTATTCTACTACTAAAACTACTACTGCTTTTATTACTACTACTAGTTCTACTACTAAAACTACTACTATTTTTATTACTTCTACTACTTCTACTACAACTACTACTACTATAACTACCACTACTAGTACTACTACTGCCACTAAAACTGCTACTACTACTACTACTACTACTACTACCACCGCTATAACTACGACTACTACTACTACTACCACTAAAACTACTACTACTACTACTACTATCACTAAAACTACTACTAGTACTACTACTAATACTACCACTACTACTACCACTACTACTACATTTACTACTACTACTACTTCTTCTACTACTACTACTTTTACTACAACTACTACTACTACTACTAGTTGTACTACAACTAGTTGCACTAGTACTAGTTGTACTGGTTGTAAAAGGCGAAATATTTATACGTGATGATAGAGGAGATTATTCCTCTCGCTCATTTAGCACCCCCGCTGCTGGAGACGTATGCGGCTGTTAGTGGCGCGAAAGATCCAGTTCCCCGTCGTGCTAAGGGTGTATTGAGTGCTCTTACCAGAAGGAGGGCAATAGAAGGATGGAAGGTTGAGGAACAAGAGCTCTTAAGGGCACCAGAGGCAACGGGAGTGCGCACCAGTTTGGCTATTGCCGATTGGTTGGTTGAATGGATTGGAAGGCCGTTCTCTATCGGAACGACGTTACACACCACACAACTGATGACCGGCCATGGTTGTTTCTCGGCGTATTTAAATGAAATAATGGGTGAGGATAAGTCGGAACACACCCTGATTGACTGCCCGCCCTGGACGGATGCCACGAATGAGTTGTTCGACGCGATGGGGAGATGGCAGCTAACTCTTCCCGTGATAATCTGGTTCTCCCTGACTGTCCCGGAAGAATGGGCGGTCATTCGGACCTTCACTGGACGGGTCATGCGTGCAAAGGAAATCGCTGAGAGGTGCAGGGAACGGTCGCGAGGAGAAGAAGGATGTGTGAGTGAGCGTGCGAGTGCGTACGTGGATGGGAATGCGAACGATAGGCCGCATAGGATAGTAGCTCTAGTGCTGTCACCTCGTGCAAGACTCCGAGCGGCTCAGGCGGCGCCTGGCTTAAGCGACGCTTCTCTTTAGACGTGAGTGCGTGTGTACGAACGTGAGTGGGCCTGGTCAGAGCACCATGGGGTGGGAATCGGGCCAATATGTATATAGTTAGGGAGTAATTGAGTCTCCAGGGACTCGTGGGCCCCTGTCGAGTTTGCCGTATTGGTGTGAATATAGATAAATGATTGAATGAGAGCAAGGCGAATACCGACCTGGCTCACCGTGGCAGGGTGCTGGGTGAATTTGTAATACGCATATGCGTGATCCTGCTCACTCCTCTTTCTTCTTAGCGTGTTAGTTATAAAGATCGGGAGGTTCTTTAGTCGGTAGACGATCCGAACCTGGGAGCATTCTCTGACGGGCTGTATCCGACACTCCCCTGAGAACCGGGCTCAGGAGGCCTATGAATGTTTTTTCTCCTGAGGAAACAAAAAAGAATTTGTACTAGTTGTACTAGTATTAGTTGTACTAATTGTATTAGTTGTACTAGTTGTACTAGTTGTACTAGTACTAGTTGTACTGGTACTAGTTGTACTAGTACTAGTTGTACTTATACTAGTTGTTCCAGTACTAGTTGTACTTGTTCTAGCTGTACTTGTACTAGTTGTACTGGTACTGCTTATACTTGTACTAGTTGTACTAGTTGTACTAGTACTAGTTGTACTAGTTGTACTAGTTGTAAAGGCAAAAGATTTATACGTGATGATTGTGTGGATTATTCCTCTCACTCATTTAATACCCCAGCTGGCGGAGACGTATGTGGCTGTTAGAGTCGCGGAGGAACCTGTTCCTCCGCGTGCTAAGGCTGTAATGGCTGCTCTTGCCAGAAGGAGGGCAATAGAAGCATGGAAGGCTGAGGAACTAGAGCTCGTCGGGGCACCAGAGGCAACGGGAGTGCGCACGAGGGCGGCCATTGTCGAATGGTTGGCTGAGTGAATTGGAAGGCCGTTCTCTATCGGAACGACATTTCATACTACACAGCTGATGACCGGCCATGGTTATATCTCGGTTTATTTAAATAAAATAAAGAAAATTCCCTCCTCACCTTGTTTCCACTGCGAGGGGAGTGAGGATACGTCGGAACACACACTGATTGGCTGCCCGGCGTGAACGGATGCCAGGAAGCAGTTGATCGACGCGTTGTAGGAGTGCAGCTAACCTTTCCCGTGATAGTCAGGGTCTCTCTGACTGTCCCGGGAGAATGGGCGGCCTTTCGGATATTTGCTGGACGGGTCATGCGAGCAAAGGAGGACGCTGAGCGGCGCAGGGAACGGTTGCGAGGAAAAGAAGCACGTGAGAAGTACGTGCGGGTACGTACATGGATGGGAATGCGAACGATATGCCACATAGGAGAGTGATTCCAGTGCTGCCACCTCGGGCAAGGCTCCGAGC